GGATTAACCTCGCTATACGGGGCACCACTGTATAATACATGCAGAAATAATAGGCAAAATGTGTATGAATGCCAAATAATCCAATTAATACTATTTTAATTTATGGATTGCAAAAACTGGGCATGCTTTTAGCAGGTAGACAGCAAAAATAGGGACTGAAATTCTATTAGTGTACATTCAAAATGTGAAATCAGTGATGAAAACATTAAAAACACTAACAGCCACTGACATTTATTATTGGTGTTGCTTTTAAAGTTTTAAAAAATGAATAGTAACATAAAAATATGCTATTTGTGTGCTGATTAAAGGCTCTGACTCTTCTAATGCTACATCAGACCAAGAATTGCACCTGACCAACACTTATGTTAAGAGTCAATGAAACATTACCTGGTGAGGTGCGGAAGCGGCACTGTCCTGTCATTGGGTCATACTCCTGGTTTTCATCTGAACACAGGCACAAGAAGGAACCTTCCACATTTTCACATAGGGCTTCCCCACAAACCCCACTCAGCATTTCACATTCATTCACATCTGGGAAAATGAAGCACATAATTGATTCAAATACCTCTTTCATTAAAAGGGATTTAGTGTATAGGCCATCTGTGTGCCAGTATTGTCAAATGGAAAACTAAGAAAATTTATTTATTAAAGAGATTTGTAAACCACTGTTCAATTTGCCAGAAGTACCAAAATGGATCACAAGATCATCAGAAAATACAATAATGATTAAACATGCTATGAGCGGACAAGACAGAACTATACTATGCTATTCAGAGTTAAATTATGAACCAAGGTGAAGGCAGGTCCAAAGATCTGTAAAACATTTTATCTATATGAACTATACAGAAACTCCTGCATTTAAATCTATTACGCTGTCATAGCTTATACCAAAGAACTCAATAGGTTTGTACTTTTAGGGGATGAAACATTTCAAAATGATAAATCCAGAATGTACAAACCCCAGATCTCTTTACAAGAGGCTATGAAAAGTTTCTATTGCAGTGTAAATTTATGATCACATTGATAGATCTCCACTGTCTGGATGTTTTGTAAAACACTTCTATTTCTAAGCTTTGCACAACATGCTTCATAATTACAGAATACTGTAGAGTTCACGGAGACTTGCTCCTCAAACTAACTATGTAGTCCATTTTGAATTTGGACTTAGTGCGGGTTACCCCCAAGTGTGATAAGCCAACAAGATGCCCCATTTTATGTACGGTCTAATTGAAATTGTGGCTCTAGCACTGGAACGATGGCTTGATTAACTGGAAAGCATGGCTCTAAACATGACACTAATTTTAGATTAGTGTCAAGATTCTAAAAGAAAATGTATGATAGGTAAAAAGAGAAATATCTGGAGATGTGAAACAACAGAAGCATTTGCTAAATATTTGTTCAAACAGCCCCTGTAATAGCTATGAGAAACTATGGCAAAATCTGTAAGAGTGTATCAATTGTGCCTGAAATCTAGTACCTCCTCATATTACAGTTTGTTTTCCTTTAGGGTTTATGTCAACATTTTGGCTTGTTGCTGATAGATGAACATGTTTTCACACAAGAAAGGAACACATCATGCTAAAATATAAATGGGGGTGGGTGGGAGAAAAAACAGTGACCCCTTAAACAGTGCAAAAACACTGCACTGGACTTACTTCAAAGCATAATTGACACTGCTACCTTGACTGAATTAAATGGTTGCGATTCAGAATTGCACCCTGATTCACTAGAGCAAACTACAAGTGGATACCAAAAACACTGACTGGATTGCTGCTGCCAGTCACAAATGTCTGATGCTGTGATAATGCACATTTCACCTAGTAATTTCTTGCCTTGCCCTTATTCATTCCAAAAGCTTCCTTGAGCTTTTCTGATTGAAAAGGTCATATCTAACGTATCTAACAATGGTGAAAAGAAAGGCCACAACACTGTGGCTATATGTTTGGCACAACAGTTAAACCATGAAAGGAGGTTTTCCTTTAAACCTAGATAAGTGTTACCTGCACATTGTTAAAAAAATACACACATAAATACACTCTCTGACTGGTTTTCTTCACAAATATCAGATTTTTGGCTAAAGCTGAGAATTGCTATCAGTAATGTTTCTTATATACTGGCGGGCACAAGACCGTGCCTACGGAAACTGTACATCATATTTATTAACAGAGAGAGGAGCCTGGCTTTTCAGATAGTTTCAGCACATGGCATTATTTATGAGATAACTTTGTGGATAAGACTTAAAATCTTTCTGAAAAATCTCTATTCATCCATGGAAATCAGTTCAGTAGTCATACTGTACATTCAAAATGAGAACAGTGAGATGCTTTTTTTTCAGTATGATTTTTTTCTTTTATGTTATGATCTTGGATTAGTACCTTCTGAGGATAAGAGCTTACTGCAGTCCCAATTCTCATGATTAAATCAAAAAACACTGGTAATTTAGTCAATGCTGCTAATTTTGCTAAAGTTTAATAATAATACCAGTGAGCAGATCATTCCCCTCAGAGGGCTTATGTGTGAGTTGAACTAACCATCACCTTTCTGTGACATTAAGTCAGCTTTTTGTCTTCTCCTTGTGCACCCTGAGGATTTTTATTTGTTAGGTTTTCATTTTCCAAGGGCCATTTTACATTAACAGGGCTTTACCTATGAGCTGCTCCATATCCTGCACTGCGTTTGAGCATTTCAGCTCATTTTTGGAGTGGAACCATAGGAATAGAGTGGAGTGTTATAGTACCACTCATTATTTGGATGATTATCTTTTTTGTAGTGAGTGGGGGTTGGGGACATGTAAATTTATTCTAGAAACATTCCAGGACATGGCAAAAGAGTTAGGGCTACTGTTTGATGAGGGGGAAAAAAATGGAAGATCTGTCCACTGTATTGACATTCTTGGGAATTGAATTGCTCCTCAAACTAACTATGTAGTCCATTTTGAATTTGGACTTAGTGCGGGTTACCCCCAAGTGTGATAAGCCAACAAGATGCCCCATTTTATGTACGGTCTAATTGAATTCAGCTGCATTCCAAACTGAAATGTAGGACAAAATATTCAAGCACAGTTTTGCTTCAGTTGTTGTATAAGGATCAAGCTGGCTATTACCTTTCAGATAAAAGGATCAGCTTTCTGCCTTTTATCTGAAAGCTGCGGATCTGGGCTTGCTAGTGAACCCTTCAGATCGTGTCATGGTGTGCTGGAGCCCTTCTAGTTTACTGGTTAACCTAGCTGCACTAATAATATTTTCCATTATGCTGCTAAAAAGCATTCCCTATTTCATTTTCAACATGTTTCCAGGTAATACAAATAATAAATAAAAAAATGCACAAGGGATCAGTTGAAAACCTATGCTGTTGATAAAAATTTAATGACTCACCCACACAGCCTCGGTCATCCTGTAGAAACTGATAACCCTGATAACACAGACAGCGATAGGAGCCAGGAGAATTTTCACAAAAACCATGATCGCCACAGACAGTGCTGTTGGCACATTCATCCACATCTGAAAATAAGAACATACATCAGTATCAAATGGATAGAATATAAAGGCAAGATTAATAGTTCAGAGGAATATGTGCAAAGATTTTTCTTAAAAAAATCCAAGTACAGTAGCTGTATATTTAGAACAGATCATAGCTGAAGTAGCTAGGTATTAAAGGTTGATTAAAATAAACAAGGAATAAACATTTTTTTATACAAAGAAAAGGTAACAGTGGTAATAATACACATGGGCGATGTCAGACTTTATAATATTATGACTAAGAGAATTAAGAAAATTGTATCTCAAAAGATAATATTATGGTGAACATTTTACACTACAAGCATTTACCCATTTGATGAAATAAGTCACTGGTTCTTAACCTTGGGTTACTCGGGAGTTTTGGACTGCAATTCCCAGAAGCCTTCACCTCTAGCTGTGCTGACTGGGGTTTCTGGGAGTTGCAGTTCAAAAGCATCTGAGTAACAAAGGTTAAGAACCACTGCAATAAGTGATGCACTTCACTTAAATTTTGTAAACAAATCTTAACATGTTATGTTTACCTGTGAATGTAGCCAACTGGATTTGCATTTTCAATCAATTATTATCTGGCTTCACTCCAATATACTACTATCAAATTAAGCTAAAAATCCAATCCATACTTATGGAATTAAGTGGGATGTACTTCTGAGCAAACATGTATAGGGCTGTTTTATAAATGCATTGTTTCAGTTTTTAGTCTACTTTACCTTCACATGAGTGGTGATCTCTAGAAACAGTAAAACCTTGTTCACAAATGCAATAGTAAGAACCTTCTGTATTTAAACACTCCCCATGAGGTAAACAAAGATTGGATCCTGCACATTCATTGATATCTGCAAAAGTCATGGAAACAGAGACCAAAGGTTTATAATTTTATTTTGGGCTTGCATTGCTTAGATTTTCTAAAGATTGTGGTTGTACATCTTACATCCCAGTGAATGAAAATCAGTAGCAGGTACATCCTAACAGTAAATAGGTGGCTACAGATATCATTACAAAGGACAGTATATGAGAATTTTAAAGTGTGTCGATTTTAAGCTCTTGATTCAAAGGGAATTCTTTAGAGATGACTCATATCTAAGAGTTCTATGAATGTTGTGTCAGCAGAAGAAATACAAGGGGAATACGTGTGCAGGTATTAAGAGAATAAATAGCATAATAAAGTCATAATTGATGCTGAAAGTGCTTGCTCAAAAAAGTGGGCAAGAGAAATCAAAGTACTGGGTTTGAAACTTGCACCAGGATGAAAATGGTGCAAGTTCAAACCCAGTACTGCTAGTATAAAGCAAATGGAACAAGCTTTATACTAACAGAATTATGCAACTGGATACATGCCAAGGAGATGTTTAACAGGTGTTACTTCTCCTGTTGTGATCCTGCAGTTACAGGACAAACCATATCTTCTAAGCTTTTCTTGGAATGCATTAACTGAAAAGGAATGGAAATATGCCTCTTATTATAATAATGCTATAGCCAGAGCATACCTTGACAACCCCTGCTGGGTATTAATTGGAAGCCTTCTGGACAAGTGCATTCATAAGAACCTTTAGTATTAACACAGTTCCCTCCAAGGCAAACATTGCTGTCTTCCAGGCATTCATTAATATCTGAAATAAGTCCAATATCAACAGATGGTTTTAGAAGATATTAAATTAATAATATCATACCAGTGTCTTCTCTCTATTAGAGAGTCAGAGATACAAATGGGGCAGCTTAAGAAATAGTAGTTCCTTGGCTAACGCAAGAGCAATGGGACAGCATTGTGTCACTGAAATATTATCTACCTTCAGTAGAGGGGAGTGTAGCAGATAATCAAAATAAGTATCTGTCGCAGTAAAATTCTGCCTTAAAGGTCAGAATCCTATTAGTTATTTACACTGGTGCACGTCCACTGGTACAAATTTCAGTGGCAAATATCTACCAGTTAAGAAGTTAGAGTTTGTATTTACCATCACATACCACATTATGCACCTGCTGTATAACAAAAAAAAAATATGGATGCTGGCTTCTTAACTAACAGCAATTTCATCACTGGGATTTATGCTGTTGGACTTACACCAGTATATGTAAAGTAATAGGACTCCGGCCATAGAATAGAATAGAGGAGTAAAATCCATGAACATCAGTATGAGACTATTTATACAGCTCTTGAACAAGAAGGAAAATAATACTTAATTTAAGACTGAAATACATGGTGCGGTATGAAATTTTGTTCAGATGAAATGCTCATGGAGAAAAAAAAACTTCCTACAAAATTAACCCATTTATTTCAATATTATGTTTCATGGACTGATGTCCTTTCATTACTATACTGCCTTGGAAGCATGAAGTACAATGTTAAGCATATCTGCAGCTTGTCCCTGGCAGGGCGTATTATGGCAACAAGGCTCATCCACTTTCCTGCACCCAGCAAAATGACAACCACCCGAACCCCCTTTAGTACTGTACTGTAATATAAAGGTTAACTTGCAAACAGGGACACCTTCCTCTGAGGTATTCTTGTACCAAGTCATGCAAATAGCCAGCGTTTCTCTTCACTGGTGCTTAAATTTTTTGATAAAAGATAAAAGGGCAACTCTCCCCTTAAAATCCCTTACTCAACACCACTTTACATATTAAGGCCTGTCTGAAAAAAAAGGTCTTTCCTTGCCAGCCTGATCTTCTGTGGGAGGAAGTACCATTGCCCAGGAGCAACCACAGGAAAAGCCTTTTCCCATGTCCAGACCAAGTGCCCTTATGAGGGCGATGAAAGGAAGACTGAGGTAAAGCCTCTCCTGAAGATTTTAAAACCCAGAGAGGTTGACATGGAAAGAAATGGTCCCTCAGATAGCCTGGACCCAAGTTGTTTGGGAATTTTGCCTCCAACCGAGAAAGTAAGTCATAGTGAAGTTTAAGAGAGGAGGGATAAGAGAGAAGGAGACAAATGTTGAGAGCATTATAATGAATAATTTAGTTTATGTAAACTATATTGAATCCTACTCCATCTTGTGGTAACTGCAACATGCATCTTAATGTCAAAAGAGTGGAAAATTATGTGACAGTCTTCATATGGGAAAAGGAATGTGACTGTTGTCTCAACTGATCTAATGGAAAACTCTGAAACATAACGGAGAATTAAATATGAATTCACATGTCCTAAATGCTAGTAATGTGTGTAACTATGAAAAAGAAGATTTAATACACATCTGATGGGAGTGTACTAAATTCCAGGAGTTTAAGCGGATTGATCAATGGGTATAGTTTTAAAAATAAAATGTTGGCATATACTATTTGTATATGTTGTGGGTTGTATTTTCCCCATAATTCCCCCCCCCCACCTATATCTCTATCAGAGCAAGAATTAAGCAAACATGGTTAGAAGCCACAAAAACTGAAATTTGACCAGTGTTCCTGGAATAGCATTTGACAAAATATCACTTGACTGAATCCTTTCTGGAAAAATGGTAACAGTGGAAGTTACACTTGGTACCTTCACAGTGGTCTTTTGTAGGTGACAACTGGTAACCTTGGCCACAGATACATCTATAGGATCCAACTATGTTTCTGCATTGCCCATCTGTGCAGAGCTGCTGCTGTTGACATTCATCTACATCTGTAAATGATAAGAAAAGTATTGGAAAATACTTATATACTCCTACTTCCTACAAATATTGAAAATGCTTAAAAAACTTACAAGGATTTACAATGCATTTGTACTACATAAAAATAAGAGTCTGCACACTTTGATGTGGACTCTGTAAAAACTCCTAATTTCTAGAAAATTACTCTGTCTCAGCAAAACTAGTTCTGCTTTCTCTGTTAATACTTCTTCAGGCATGTCAATGTTTATTGCAAAGTAGTTCTATTTCATTGGTTTGCATTGTTTTGGCCTTCCACTCTTCTTTCATATTTTATAGCCCTGAGCCCTTTCATACATTTACAGAAGGAAGTGCGAATTTTCCTGCAGCCTCTGCTTAAAAAAAAAAAAACCTATGTGGAAAGACTTTCTAATGGAGGCAGTTCTTTTGGCTTCTCTCAAAATGTCAGCATATTAGAAAATACAAAAGTACAACTATGCACAAGTGTTCTAGCAAATGTACCTCCCCCTTCTCACTCCCTGGTTTGCCTTTTAGAAGTGTAAGAAAGTTCTGATGACACCACACCCTGGTTGGGAATACAGCATTTATACTTCAAATGCTAGGTGTACAATTCTTATCACTAAACACTGTACATGTTATTTGAAGAGCTAAAGATATCAATCATGCTCCTACCTTCACACTGATCTCCTGCTGAGGATAGTTGATAACCTTGGCTACAAAGACATCTGAAAGAACCCTCAAGGTTTTCACACTGGCCATTTGTGCAGAGACTGCTATACTGACACTCATTTACATCTGTGAATACAAAGGGCACATTTAAACCACTGCAAAGTTCTCAGGTATGTCTGCTAATGAAGTTTGGAATTAAGTTCCTTTAGTGCTGTGCTTGTGAGGCAAACTCATTTTTAACCTGATCGTCATCTTGGACTCATATGTTCACATCCGAGTCTCCTGGAAATATTACTGAGGCATAAAGAATGGGGAAATTATCCTGTGTTAAAAGTATACATTACAAAGTCAAAACCTTTAAGAGAAAGGACTAATGGATCCATAAGCTTCATAAAAATGAATAGCACCTGCCTTCCACCAGAAAATTTCACATTTTAAATAATTGATGAAACATTTAAAAAATGAATGCAAATAAAGTTGCTGTCTATAAGCTAATCAATAACTGTAGGGGCAGGGGAGGCACATAAAGAATTTTGTTTTCTTTTTTCATTTTGGGAATGACTGGAACAGAGGAGAAATTATGATGAGATAGACATGTGTGTTAGGGACCTCCACTTAGGGCAATGGACTAGATTGATGATCTGCCTTCTGACAGCGGAACAGCACTGCTCACAAAACAAGCCTCCACCTAATTCTCAAGGATACCACCACCACCATAGCTCATTCCTCTTCAGGGGTCCCTCCCAGATACCCTGTGTAGCATTTTCAGGACCTGGAGGGCTGCTGTGGGGAGACAGCAAAGTTCTTTTGACTTATCTCACACATCTAAAGCTGGATCCCACCAGTTAGGCTAATCCCAGCACAGGCTGATGAAAATGATCTCTACCCAGTCACTAGCTACCTGTTTTGTAACAGGCCACTCCATTAAATTAATCAGAAATAGACAGAATACAGTAGCATATGGTGATAGCACAAGGAAAAGGCCATTGGGTGGTAATTTTAAGTAGCTTTTTAAATAAGAAGCTCTACTATCCAGATGACACCACCGGGCAATGGAAAAGACATAAAATTCTACTGATTAAAAATGGCCAGCACACATGCAAGACCCAGTTTCTAAGATTTTATTGTGTACTGTTAGGGACACATGAGTTGTTATCTATAAAAAGGACATTTTTTGGGGGGGTAAGGTTCTATAAAGGAGAAAAGTAAGTAGATCGATGGGAGGGCAAATGAACAGTGGAAGTTTGTCTGTTTAAAGTCATAGGAAATGCTGAGTAAGCCTTTTAGGACTTGCCAGCAGGCAAGAGCACAATGAAAGGCTGTATATAGACATACCTATCTGCCTTGCCTGTCATTTTTAAATGTGTCCCTTTTGCTTTGAACTCTGAAAGCAGACAGCACAGGGTAAGATGCCAAGAACCAGGGCCAATACAAGCAATGACAAAAGTAAAACAAAAAACATAAATCCTAGGCTAGACACTAAAAGGCCATGCACCAGGATTCCAGACAACACAGGAAAATATGATTTCTTTTAGCTAGGTTTATTTCCAGAAGAGTTAATATATTCAGAAATGTACTACCTAACCTAGTCAATGGTATGCATACTAAGCATAACGATTGCACATAACAGCACAAGACATGACAGTAAACTCATTTTTAAAAACTCACAAGGCAATAAAGTGAATTTTGACAACTACCTAATGTTGCTTTGTGAGAGTAAACTAGAAGAGTACAGCCAAGCCCTGGAATTATATTATTGTTCTTTCACTTTGATGTATAAAGCTAGGATTGAACTATGCAAAGGCTGGAGGTCTGAGGCAGTGAGCCCATGCCTCGTGCTCCCTTTAAACTCAATAAAGTACAACAACTTGACAAAATTGTGTGTCAATGAAATGGAGCAGAGGCAGGAAAATGCACAATGTTATGTTCATCTTTTGTTGTGACATAGCATCCTATTTTCACAGCAGCCACCATTTCCAGTACTGCAAATACTAGCCGGTCTAAGCAGCAGTGATAATCTGTGCACAAACAGCTGCATATGAGCCTTTAAAAGTTACTTTGTTGAACTACAGCTCCCAGAATCCCTCAGCCAGCATGGCCCCTTAACTTTTCTAGGCTCTTGTCCTTGTCTACTGAATATCTAATCTACTTGTCACATTTTTCATGGGGATTAGAATTCTCATGCAAGTTGAATAATCCATTAAACCCATCTTGAAAACTGGAACTTCCTTGCAGTGAACTACACTTCTGAATGCCAACTATACAAAACCGAGGAGAGAAAAAATTCTCTTTATAATGGACTTGACTCATACCATAACCTGTACTGAACCATTTGGAAGTGTACTGCCCAGCATACTGGGTCAAACCTGTTCATGTACAAGAGTGCTACAGGGCTCTGCACAGCCATAGCAAAGCAGCGATTGCCCATTACAGTTATATACATACAGTGGTGCCTCGCTAGACGATGTTAATCCGTTCCATTGAAATCGCTGTCTTGCGAAAACATCGTCTAGTGAAAAGCATTTCCCCATTGGAATGCATTGAAACCCGTTTGATGTGTTCCAATGGGGGGGGAAATAGTTGTCATCCAGCAAAAATCGCCCATAGGGAAGCCATTTTGCAAAGAGCCAATCAGCTGTTTAAATCGCTGTCTTGAAAAGCATCGGTCCTGAAAACACCCGTTTTGCGAAGATCGCCCATAGGGAAGCCATTTTGCAAAGCTGCCGATCAGTTGTAAAAATCGTTGTCTTGCGAAAAAACAGTCTGCGAAGCACGGACCAAATCATCGTCCAGTGGAATCCCTCATTCGAAAAACCATTTTGCGAATTGCTATAGTGATTGCAAAAAGTCAACATAGCGAAAAAAAACATTTTGCGGGGTAATCGTCTTGTGAGGTACCACTGTATATTACTTGTAACAACATTTTGCATGCAAAGCATGAAAAATTTACTGGCTTAGACTACAGTTCCAAGAATCACAGTAAGACTACATGTACACCAGAAAACTCGTTTTTCAAGCCCTGTTCAATGACCATAATGTAAACACGAGGAGATATTCAGCTTGATCCAGTTTTCACACATGCTGATTTTTGCTATTCATTTTAGTGGAGACTTAGTGGAAATGTTAAGCATTTTAAATGTACTGCTGTAACTGGTGCTGCCACTCTCTCCCGTAAAATGAAGAATTTACGAAGAGCTACCTGAATAAATAGGAAAGGTAGTTCATGAAGGAGTTTGCTTTCAAATACTTTAGCAAAGCAATAGCTATTATCCCTCTCCCCTTTTTTCCAAATGCAATGGATCAAAAGAGAGAGAGAGAGAGAGACAGAAGAGAGAGAGAGAGAAAGTCCTGAATGGAGACAAAAAATTAATATAGGAAATTGGAGAGTGAAAAGGCCATGTGACAGATAAACTGAGGATCACATTTGCATTTCACTGTGAAACCGCAGGCAGAGAATGGAATGACATAACAAAACATACATATTGTTTTTAATATTTGGAAACTTTTATCTGTATTTTATTACGGTTCACACAACACACAAGTATTGTATGTGCATATTTATTTATTTTTCTATTTCACTTTGTATACCAATGATACTCTACAATTTCATTTCAGATCTCATAAAATCATTATGGAGACAGAGGCTTGAGTTGGCACTGTGGTAAACAGTGCTAAAACATGTCACTGTATAAGTATTGTTCTTGACTCAAAACAGAGCTTGTGGACACAAAACCCATATAGCCTGAGGCTCAAATCTCTTCTTATTCCTCTTTCAGGACTTCACAGCTGTTGAATTGACAGAGCATTTACAATGAAGTTGTAATCGCTTTCTGTAAACTCTACATGATGCATTTCCCCCTTTATTTGTTTAATACGGCATCACCATATTAGTTGCCATTTTGTTTGTTCTTAGTTAACAGACAAGCTGGTAATTATCTCGAAAAACTAGCAGCACACCAGTTCTAGTCATCCTGCATTGGTTCCCAGTGCCTCTCTGAGCCAGATTCAAGGTACTGTACTTACATACAAAGCCCTTCACCATTTGGGGCGCATTACATGTCAGAACGCCTCCATTTAAGAACTTCTGCTTACTCCACCCAGTCTTTTGCAAGCCTTGTTTTTGTGGGTGGCCACTCCTTGAGAAGTTCAAAAGGCTATTTACTAGAACTGAGCCTTCTTGGCGGTGACACCATCCTTATGGAACAAGCTCCTCCTGGAGGTTCATCAAGCCCTGTCCCATATTAATTTCAAGAGCTTGGTGAAGGCTGAGCTTTCCAGGAAGTGGTTGCTGTGGGGTTTTTTTGGCTCTTTGGCCGTGTTCTGAAGATTTTTGTTCTTAGAAGCTTTTACTGACATCTTTCTTTAAGGTGACAGCTAGATTTTAATTTACTTCACCCTACTGCCATCAATAGTTGTTTTTATTATTATTTTTAGATCTTATTATTTAATTTTTGGATGACTGTGTTTGTCTATCATATTGTTGATATGGGTATATTGTTTATGCTCGTTGTTAACTGCCCTGGGTAGTGCACTGCGCTAAGTTGGGCAGTTTACAAATATAATAAATACGTAAATAAAGAAATCATGTGCAATGTAGGTAAGTCCACCTAATTCAGCTGGGCTTACTTCTAAGTCAGTAACTATAATATTGCTGCCCAAGTTTCTATTTTTGGGCCTATCCAGACTGGCTCTTTTGGGCGTCCTGTGGATTGGGCTACAAAAGGTCTGTTGAGGTTGGGGGGAGGAGCGATGTGCCATTTAGTGTCTAAACAGCAAACAACCCCTTGTAGCCTGATCAGCTGTCAATTAAGTGTTTCTCCTGAGCATCTATGGAGGGTCACAGAAAGTGATTTTTTTTGACATTGTTCCTCTTTCCCTCAGAGTCGCTCTGTTTTCTCCTTTTCTCCCTTCCTGCTCCCCTTCCCTCATTCTCCCCCCATTTTCTCACTCACTCTCCCTTGGAATCTACAATTGCTGAGGCTGCTATCTCCTGGCTAAACGAGTGTGCCAAAAAGAATCCAGAAAGGTGCAGAACAGCTCTTAAAGAGGAAGGATGGGTTGTTTTAAGTATTGGATGAGATATTTTTCAAAATCCAAACTGTGCTATCAGCAACTCATATATTGTATCCAGAAGCTGGTGTGGACAGGCCCTTAGTTAAAGAAGTGATAGGATCCATACTAAGCTGATTACACTTAAGTTACAACTACAATCTTACACTGATTTGAATAGGACCTAACAAAACTAACAAGCAGAGTAATTAAAGCTGAAAAATACACCAGTTGTAGTGGGTTTGCAATGACAAAAAGCCTCTTAAGCTGATCCAGCTGCCCTTGCACTGGCTTATAGCACAACTGGATCTGCAAACAAAATTACTGTGCTGCCTAACTGGCAGAAGAGCCAAAAATGGGACAGAGGAGGGGAGGAGCTGAGTTATTGCAGTTTCAAACAACTCTCAGTTCAGGCTTATTGGCTAATTAGAATTGCATTCATAGTAGGAATTCTGCTTAAAGAACAAAGGTGTACATTCACCTTTCAGTCAGCTTCAAAGTGCGGAAAGGGTGGGTGGGTAGATAACATTAATGTAACAACATTTGGAACAGGAAATATTTTCAGTAAGCCACTTACCATGACATTGCCCATTCCAGCCTCTGAATCCTTCTCTGCAGGGTACACACTGGTAAGAACCTGGTGTATTAATGCACTCTGAATCTGGACAAGTATGTGGAATTGAACATTCATTGATATCTTTAAAAAATAAAGCAAATGTAATTTAGGATTTTAATAATCAATGAAAAATAAATGCATCTCAGAGTTTCAATGGAACTATTTAAAGATAATGAGTTACACAAAATTAATTCTTTTTGCAGTACTATATAATTTAGCTTAATGAGAGATAACTTCTTTTCCTTTGTATTGTAAGAGTTTCTAGTAGCTAGTTACGTTAGTAGTTATAAGGGTGGCCAGACTACCACATTTTGAATCAGTTTCCAGCAGCTAGTAACATTCTAAAGCAACTAAAAGTAACCATTTAGTCACTTTTAAATAATGTGTAAATAAAGTGTTGCTTTGCAAAATTGTAACTGTAACAGCAACTAGCTATCTTTGAGAAAGGGATAGATATGTAAGGGTAACTAATCACTTTAAAATATAACTTTTCAAGCTCTCATATTGATGTTACAATAGCACTTATATAAAGAAATTTTGGTGCTATTATTTAGGATCTTAGCATGTAAATTAGCATGGATCCATTGAAGTACATTATGTGGTGGCTAGAATGCTAAACTAGGCTATGTAAAACCTAGAACTTTTCATTCATCTCTAAAGCTTACTAAATGGCCATAATTTTGGGATAGGGTGAGCAGTTAGCCAGGTCAGTTGTAGCAAAATCAACAAAGAGTCTTGTGGCACTTAAAGATTAACACATTTTATTTGGCATAAGCTTTTATGGACTGAAGCTGCAATCCACAAAAAATGATGCAGAATAAAATGTGTTAGTCTTTAAGGTGTTACAGAATCCTTTGTTGTATGTGGCCACAGATGAGTTATTTTATCTTACGTAGCTTTGACTTCATCCCATGATTCTTGAGACAATTTAAACACTATTCTGAGCTCCATCGAAGAACGGTGGGGCATAATAAATTAGTAAATAAATACATGCTTGATTCACTTCCACTAAAGTTTAGATTTTAGTGGAAATGATCCAGGTGTTTAAGATTTTTGTTAAGCAAAAGCATATAGAGGCATGTTCCATTGGGTTAAGTAGATTTAGGGTTGAAAGTGGTGGGGTTCAAGAAGGAAAAAGTACATTCTAAATTTATGCTGGTATTCTTTAGAGTTATGTTTACCCATAGTCTCATGTGACTGAAAACGAGAAGTAAGCTGAAGAGACTCTTGGAACAGACTCCAGCCTATGATTAGGTAGGACGGATATTCCAGGAGAAGTTGTAGGAGGCTAATATTTGAGATCTCCTTGTACAAGAGTGATTTTCAGGCTTGGGTGTGGCATGCTAAAAGGTCTTCATAGATAGCATCCATATTAGAGATGGGCATGAGTTAAGCTGTCCCCTCCCGTCCATGCTCGCCCATTCCTCGGGCGATGCACGCTTCTCTCCCTGGTCCCCCAGCGCAACTGCTGACTTACCTTTTGCAGCCTGCTCTTCCTTCTTCTGCCTGCTCCTTCAGGCAACCACTTAGATAAGGAGGCCGGCTGACAGAGAAGGTGAAAGATGGAAAAGTAGACTGCAAAAGGTGAATGGCTAGTTGCGCTGGAGGGGGTAGGGAGGGAAGCGTGGATCATCTGAGAAATGGGTGAGTGTGCAGGGGAAGCAGGCACTGTGCCCGCACAACATCTGTGCAGGCATGACGATGACGCACATAGGATGGGGATGACTTAATTTGTGCCCATCTCTAATATGGGTACTATCTATGAAGTCCCTTTAGCATACTAAGCCCAAGCCTGAATTAGATCTAATCAGCAGAAACTCACTCTTGTACAAGATCTCAGGTATTAACCTCCTACAACTCCCATCTCTAATCTATACCCATGGCAGTTTCCCTGATCATATCATAGGCTGGTACATTAGAAGTACCCCCTACACACTGGTTTTCATGTTCGTTCCATTAAGTGGTGTCCTGTTTAATTCCATCTATTGGTTCTGCAAAGTGTGTGTCCTACCTCACTGCAACCCCAGCTATAAAAATTATGTGTAATCAACAAAATGTATCAATACCAATATTCGAATTTTGTATTTAAAACTGTCTTTTAAATTGAAACCACCAGCAGCACCAATCTTAATTCCACTGAAAGCTGAAACTGACAGACTTTACGGAGGAATTTCTTAACTTAAACAAGCACATTCTGTATTTTGATGAAAGATGACAGGTTTGAAAACAATGAGAGGCCAAAGACATAAATACTTAAAATGGAATAACTAAATATCACACTGATTTAGGAGTCACTTGACACTGATTTTGCTTTTAAAATCAGAAGAAAATCTGTGCCAAAGTCCAGCCTTATATCCTTTGTCAGACAAACTAGGACATTTTGTTCTAAAAAACCTACAAATTTTAGCCAATTTTATAATCGAAACCACAAATGGATACCTTTGCAACTCCTGTTATTATATAATTGGAATAAGTAAAATGAATAGCAAATTTATAAATAATACCAAGAGAACAGATTAAACAGGTAGTAAAGCTTTAACAGTACCATTTAAATTGTTTACAGTTGTAAAACTGAAGTATGCTTTATTCATGCAAGGGATGAAATTACGGCACAAGTATTTATTTATTTATTTGTTTTATTCATATGCCACCTTTCTCATAATAAGGGAACTCAAAAGTATCAACACTTCATAAAATTTAGGATGAGCAATAGTGCTGGTTCACCATCCATGCCCATTCTGCTAGCCTAGATGGAATAGTGGGACCTAGTTTGGTGTCTCTGTATGGTCTAGAGCAGAGGTCTCCAAACTATGGCCTGCGGGCCACATCCTGCCCACCTTGCCTTTTTATCCGGCCTGGGCATAGGAAGAGGAGGGAATGGGGACCCAAGCGACCCCCCACTGTATTTGCAAAGACAGTGGGGGGAGCGGATTGCTTGGGTCACCCTTCCCTCCCTCAGCCCTTGAAAATCTGTAAAATATATGATGTGGCCCTCATACTGAAAAGTCTGGAGACCCTTGGTCTAGAGATTTAGGAATGCCAATGTAATGAACTGATAGACACTGTCCCCATCTGCTAGTGTTAAGTGAATGCAACTTCAAACTTGATGTTGTGATTGCCATGAGTGACACTAGTTGTTTCTGCAGCAAAACATACAAAGTATAAATGAAATAGGCATATAATTAATGAAGATATGTATGCATCCATTATTAGGCTTCTAGTCCATGAAGCATGTATGCAGGTACTTAAGAATGCACACTTACCATTCAAACTTCATGTGTGCAAATATATCCTTGGTTATCCATGAAAAATGCAATTCACTCATCAAGATAAAAACAGGGAATATGGCTTAATGGGACAGATTTACCAATTCTTCTCAAATAGATGCAAGTTTTTATTGATGGCACAATTTCTTTGAATTTTTTAATAGAACATCAAATAATACTGACTGTTAATAAATATTCAATAAATTATGTTGTTCACCTTCACACTGGCCTCTCCTGTTCATTCGGAATCCACTGTCACAATATTCACATCTGTACGAGCCAATGGTATTTACACAGAGACCTTCTCCACAAGTATGCGGTCTGGTGCATTCATCAACATCTAGAAACCACCATTCATAGCTTACTTAGTACAAATTATAGGATAAAATACAACTGCTTCACTTTCTAAAAACAAAATATGTATTTACAGCATAGTAATTCTCTAAGGCAGTGGTCAGGGAACAGGGGTAAATTACCCCAAATGGGGTAAAAATGAAAAACCTGGGGGTAATGAGGATGAGCAGTCACAATATTGATGCTCTCATATCCAAGATGAAGCAACATCATTTCTCCAAAACCTGAAGTTTTCAAGCAAGCTTTCAAAGTAATTTTGAATAGATTCAATAAGATTTCGAATTCAAATAATGTATGATTTCCTTCCTTTCAAATCAAGGGGGTAATGTCGGCGTATATAAATTTTGGGGGGAGTAAAAGGTAAAAAAGTTCCCTGACCCCTGCTCTAAGTGAATTTCTCCCCCCTACTTACAGGAGTAGTTTATTGGTATAAATAGAATAATGTATTGGCTGAATGATCACAGAGCTTGACTATAACATCAACAAACTGTAGGCAATTTGAATGGTTTGATATTAAAACATTTGAGGTATATGTGTTTTTCTGCTTACCAGCCTCTAGTAAGTCCTCCTGTCCCCATCACACTGGAAGTCCATTTTGCCAGACGCTTTCCAACAGAGAGTCTACAACTACGGTGCAATGCTACAGCACTTTCTGGAACCTAGTCTTATGCATGGGAGGGAAAAGTCCCAACCACGGTGCATCTGACCTTACAGTGATGCTTTATTTTTAAAGAAGTGCAACTGTACAATAATAAATTTATGAGGATACTGTGAATTATAATTTCCACTGTGTAGTAATGGCCAAGCTTTACAAAAGCCACTAAAATTTTAGCAATAAGTATTCAACCAGTTTTAATAACTGCTACTTCTTAAGCAATACACAGTCAACCCCCTATCAACCTACTACATTTAGCAACATCCCATGCTTCCATAAAAATGTAAGCAGTTTCCAGTAGCATCAATTGTCTTCGAACGCCATTTCTTATCATCTCCAACTACTGGGTTTGAAGCTAATTCATAAAGCAAAGTATTTACCAACACAATCTGTTCCTTGTTCATTGGCCATGAACCCTGCCTGGCAAATGCACAGAAAGCTTCCTTCTGTATTTTCACAACGCCCGAGGGAGCAGAGATGGGGAGTCTGAGTACATTCATTAATATCTGTTAAAGAAATACAAATGTATGAAGACCAAGAAAGACCAAGTATTCTGTCATGACCATCACTTCACTGCACCCGATGTGCACAGGGTGCTGAAATCAAAGATAGACTCCATTAACACTGATTTGTTTCCCAAGAGGAGAAGAGCAAGAATTCAGTTCAAAACTTTGATTCAAAAAGCATACTTATTGGCTTAAAGTTCCAAAGTATTAAGTGTCCTTGGAAAAGGAATAAACAGCACTTCTAAGTGATAGTCTTTCAGAGGGGACGTGTGTGTTTGTGCACAGGGGAGTAAAGTATTATATACAATTAGATTCGGGAATGTTTTGGAAAACAGGTTTCAGTAAAGTAGCTGTATTAATCTGTCTCAGTATGCATAACAAAATACAAAAAGAAAAGATCTGTGGCTCCTTAAAGACCAACAAATTTATTTCAGAGTGATCTTTTTGCTGATTACAATCCACTTCTTCAGACAGTGGGCGGTAATGCTCAAAATCTTGTAGTGAGAAACATTTCGTGTTCTTATACTCATGTATGAACTGTAAATGACATAAGCATTGTGCATCAATATAAGGGAAAGTAGTGTGAATTGCCAATTTCCAATCACATCAGGAATAGAAGCAGCCATATTTATTTACTGTAGTTGCTACCTACAAATGACAGGTTTTATGTATTCAAGTCCTTCGCACACTGATTCATTTAGCAGCTGAGGTAGATGAAAGAAGAACTGATTGTACCTGTACATTTTGTTTGTTGATCATTAAGCCTGTATCCTTCAGAGCAGAAGCAGGTGTAACCCACAGGCAAGTTAACACAATGTCCTGCTCCACAAATATCTGGATTCACGGTGCATTCATTGATTTCTAAATAAAAAGAATCATAAACACATAACAAACATTTTAAAGCACGTTTTATTTACTCTTTTTTTTTAAAGAGAAGAAGCTCTTTGGGGTCAATCCAGTGGCTACTGATGAGAAGCTAGTGCGGTGTTAGGGTTCCCACTCAGATTTTATTTTCCATTTCTCTGATTTTTCATGAGTAATTTTTCTCCACGTCCCTGAGCATCATTCAAAATAATCCACATTTAAGAGTTCAAACTTAAATAAAAGTTTTTTACATTACTTTTAATTTTTTATTAAGCAGTTTAAGGCTGCATGCTAAAACTAAAATGCAACCTTTTTGGTCCAGCATGGGAGTTTCAGTATGAGCATTTTGAAACACTGGGTTGTTAACTAAACAAATACATACATTGAAATTTCACTAAAAATTACAAATGCAGGGCACTTCTTATTGTCTTAAATCCAAAGTGTGTGTGTGTGTGTGTGTGTGTGTGTGTGTGTGTGTGTTTGCAAACTTTACTTTATACAGTACTGGGTAGAAAGTGCTTATATCAATAGTAAATCCCATTTGCAAGCTTTTCATTTAAGTTGGTTGCAGAAAGAGGCAACATCTCTAGCTTCTCCCTTTCTTTTCCTGTGTGCTGTATGTATACTAGATGATAATGTTACGAACTTGCTGATTATGTTACACTTTACTTTAAAGGATGGTCAACATTCTCTTCCAGAGCTCCATCAGCACAGGGGAAAATGTTACTACTGTACTGGCAACAACAGATTGCCATTAATTAAAGAGGTTTTTATTTTATTTCAGGGTGTGTGGCACTCCTGCACAATGATATATGCACCATGACATTAAAAAAGGAACTCTTTACTTAGCAATCTGACCTGCTGGTGATATTGTTCATACCATGTCAGCAGAACTCCACAAGAAGGTAATGGACTTTGTATGTAAGCTAAGTGTAGTACTAGCAAGAATGTTTTGTTCCAATGTATAATTTGCAGGTTACCTGCAACTGGTTACATATCTTGTGCTGTAGGTACCCTGTTTCCCTGAAAATAAGCCCTAGTATGATTTTTCAGGATGCTCGTTATAAGCCCTACCCCTAAAATAAGCCCTAGTTAAGTGAAATCCCATCCTCCACCGTTGTACAGCAACCAGAAGATGACATGACTGTATTTGAATAAACGTAGATTGTTATACATGAAAAAAATAAAACATTCCCTGAAAATAAACCCTACTGCTTTTTTTGGAGGAAAAATAAATATAAGACCTTGTCTTATTTTTGGGGAAACATGGTAGTGATCTGATCTTGATTAGTTCCAAACCGAGTCATATTTTTACTTGGATTGCCATCTATTTCTTTGAGTCCCAACAGCTTCCAACAGTCCACCCATTCGTTCCACTAAGAATCCTTCTAAAAGCATATACTTTACCACTGATTTTGTATCAGTTGTCAAGGGTAGAGCAACTGATACTTTAGTAGAAAATATAATGTCCCTGATATGCTTCATACTGAATTAACTGAAAATTGCTTTCTTGAAGTTTAGTAAAACTGGTTTGAAAATCTTTTGTTTGATTCATTATTTCAGTTCTTGCTCAGTGTCTGAAACCTACCAGTAAATCACAACTAGAGTTCCACTGAATCAATGGAACTTATGGAGTTCATATAGCAAACTCCCACAACTGTAGTTGCAGCTTTCTACTGGATTTCACTCTGTCTTTTAATGTAAAACAAGCATCTAGTATTTGTTCCATGACTGACCTACTGTAATTATCGTTTATAGAATAGGTCTGTTTTAAATTATTTAGAGTAACTGTTATTAAGAATAGAGACTATGCTCTTGTTGTACAAAAGATTAAAATAAAATATAAATTTAAAATTTTTAATTTAGCTTTCCTTTTATTAACACAGATCTGCACATAAGATCTGATTACTGTACCAATCTCACTTGTATTGCTGAAAGTATTGTGGCTGGGCTGAATATCTGCTAAAAACATAACGACTATCTACTAAGTCCAGTAAGCTATCTACTAAGTCCAGTTTGCTGGTCCCTGTCAAAATCTTTAAATCAAATGAAACTGACATGGTTTTTTTGACTGCACAAAGTACCAGGCTGTCAATGTATCCATAATAAAATAATAAAGCATACAAGATTATTTCATTCTGTTCCACTTTTTAACAAGTTTCAGTCAATATAAAATTTCAAAACCATATAATCATGGAATATTTGTGTCACTATATACAATTAGTATTTTCCTGCTTCCCTACTCCTATTGTCATGAGTGAACATTGTCCTCTCAAAACAACATCTCAAACAAGCAAACAAATCAATAAGGGAGAGTGAGCGGTTTTAATTTCTCTGCATTCCTAAAAATGGGAACTCTGTCTGACCGTCTCTACAAAAGCATACTTGGCATCAACATCCAGACATATGCCCTACAAAGTTCTTCCTTTGCTTGTTTTATTTACTTACACACAAACTTAATGTACCTGAAAACCACGTGACGCTCTTACAATTACAACTCCTCAGAACAACTATCAATAGCATTTTCTTCTGGAACCATATGTTTATACCCTCCAAGCTACTAATATTACGAGATGATGCTGTATATCTATAACGAGCATGAGGACACATATCTTTACTCTCTGCCTTACCAGCTATTTCTGCTTTCTGTGATTAAACTTCCTATAAATAGTACATGCCAAGTTACTTCAACCTGATCTAGAATATGGAGCTATTTTGGGGAGTATCTTCAGGCTGTTCTAGTTTATACGGTAGAGTAGAAATGGAGCACTGTTTGACCTGTTTGCACTATCCACATGGGGGCAGTATTTCCAATGCAGGGCATCAGCCACAGGTCTTAGCCACAGCTGTGGCTGATTTTGCTGTGGTTTACATGCAATACAGTTATGCAATTTTTATTTTAAATAATTTATTTAATTTATTTCATGCATTCCCCATAGCAATTTGGACGCATGGCAGCTCCCCTACCCCTGTAAATGGCATGGGGATGTATGTGGAAGACAGAACATAGTTTGCTCCACATGAATGGCTAGACTGGATCGAGGATAATGGCCTTCAGTCTAATTAACAATGAAGAAAGGTACGTGCAAAAGTGTGACATAGGGCAACAGCATCTCAGATCCTTGGTAACTGTTCACTCCAGTCTTTAACTATGGGGTTTAATTCAATCATTTTAATTTAATATTATTAATTACCACTGCAGTGGTGCCCTGCTTGACGACAATAATGCGTTCCAGCAAAATTGCTGCACAGCAAAATTGTCATCAAGCGGGGGAAAAAACTCCATTGGAATGCATTGAAAACTGGTCAATGCGTTCCAATGGGCGAAATACCTGCTTGTGCAGTGAAGATCGTCGATAGGGCAGCCATTTTCCGATCCCTGTCTTGCGAAAATAGGTCAGCAAAACAGCAGGGAGTCATTTTGCGAACTGCAAGTCAGCTGTTTGTATAAGCGAAAAATTGGTTCCCGAAGCAGGGAACTATTCATCGTCAAGCAAAAAAACCATATTGGAATCATTGTTTTGCGATCGCAAAAAAGTCATTGTAAAGTGATTTCATCGTCAAGCGGGGTCATTGTCAAGCGGGGCACCACTGTACTTCATTGCTATTTAACAGTAGTAATTACTGCTCTTCATAATGATAGAAGTAATAGTAATAGAAAAACTTTTATTTTGAAAATTAAACATGATTTCTATACCTCTTTTAGTGACATACAGAATAGTCTGAATTATTTATCTTAATTATTCTGAATATAATTCTTATGAATTGGGTTGAAGACTAACAAGCTCCAGACTTATTCTCCACAGCCTTTGGAATTTAGCATTTGGTTTCACTACGCTCCAGTTTTTCCCTCAAGCTTATGATTTTCAATGGTTTTACATTGCTTAAATTTGTTTATGTGTTTTGAGTTGTTTTGTACTTTTAAACTGTTTCAAATTGCTTTTAATTGCTTTTATTGTACTCCATCCTGAGATCTCATGATAGAAGGCAGGACAGAAATAGTTTAAATAAAGAAGTTAATAAGATTTTTTTCCTGCTATTTTTTGCTTTAAAATAGATTTGTTCTTGAATTTTACTCTGTTCTTAATCTAGTTTGTTGTTTAATTTGGTTTTAGTTTTTCCTTACGCTGCCTTTGAAACCCTTGTCAGGGCTGAATCTCTGTTTAGCAGTACAAAAGCACAGTATTGAACGTGCTAACTAATACAAAACTTATAAATAATGCTTCCTTTTAAGCCAGAGAAAACAATAGTTTATTAGTTAAAATTGACCACAAATGGAATACTGACTCATTGGTGTTAAGATCCCAGAGATATAGGCCATTCCGAGGCAGAGAGATAAAAATGGAATTTAGAAATTGTAAGGTATGTTGGAATATAGCAGTAAATTTAGAGCAAATCACACAGCTGGTAGTACTTAAATAAGAAAACCCTTTTTCAAAAATAAATTGATGCCAGAGCATGAAAGAAAGTTCCAGCGCCTGGAGAATACAGAAATATCATCACCAGTGTTGCAATTCTTTAATGTTCTGGAAAGGGTTGATTAGAATTTTTTTCACAAATGCTCAAGAAGAGAGATAGTAATACATTGCTTTGGTACAGATAAACCGGAAACAATAGCTTTTTGCACTCTTTCCCGTTCATAAGGAACAAATGTTTGAACTAATTTTAAAGAATAGAAAGTTAGCTTTGGAACTAATTTTAAAGACTAGAAAGCTAGCTTAAGTTTTCTGTCTATTAAATGCATAATTATATTTAATTCACTATAAAATATATTTCTCAGAAACAGCAGATAAAAAGTATAGATAGGATTAATGAAATTGGAAAATACGAGTTTATATACAACAGTTACAAAAATGGGAAGCAATACAGTCAAATTACAATTGTTAACATTCTCCATGTGGTAATATTATTTTCGGAAATGATGGTTAAACATATTCTGGAGAAAAATATCCTAGGAGAATAAAAGACACCCTTTATAAAGAATCATAGCAAGAACGCTCTGTAAAAGGAATAAAATTGTTTCAATAATCATGTGGGCGTGATGGTCCACTTTAGTCCTCCAGATTTTGTTGGACGACAACTGCCATCTAACTAACTAACTAAGTAACATAGGAAAGGGTTAGGGAAGTACCACTAAAAGGCAATGCATGAAACAATCATATCTGGGTGGGAGTCAGAGTTCTCCAACATCAATGAGTTGGTGTTTCCCCCTAGTTTTATTTTTTATTCATTTTTATAGTTTATTGGTTTTACAGCGTAGTAATCTTTTTAATTCCTCCTAAATACAAATCCCTGAATTAAGTACAGTGGTGCCCCGCATAGCGACAATAATCCATTCCGGAAAAGTCATCACTATCCAGATTCGTTGCTATGTGAAAATAAAAAGCATATAGGAATGCATTAAACCCCGTTTAATGCATCCCTATGGGCTTAAAACTCACCGTTATGTGAAAATCCTCCATACAGCTGCCATTTTCGCTGCCTGGTATGCGAGGAATCGGTGCGAAAACACAGTGGGCGGCCATTTTTTCTGGCGGCCATTTTGGAACCGCCGATCAGCTGTTTTTAAAACATCGCTATGCGAAAATCAGTAAGTGAAACAGCTTACCAATCATCACAAAGTGATTTTTTACCATTAGAAACATTATTATGCGATCGCTTTTGTGATTGCAAAAAATCCGTCACTATGCGGATTCGTCGTTAACCGAGGCGCTCATTAAGCGAGGCACCACTGTAATAACAATTTGAACTAACTTAAATGAAAGATTTAAAAAGAAATTTTAAAAAATTACCCTATCAGTAACCGAACCTACAGCTTTTTTGTAGTGAATACATCATAACTAAATGAGAAGAGTTGACATCACTTCTGGCATAAACTTGGGCTGGGATATGGTTCCAGAAGAGGATTTTGCAGCTATAAATTAACCATCAAGAAAGACTTTTTACAAATTTTGCACTATGCTCTAAATATGTGGATTGAGAATGCAGAATTCTTCCCCACCTCCTTTGTTTTGTCCCCTAAACGGGGACAATGAATATCAGCAGATGACCTGGATTTTGTAGAGCTCAAGTCACTGAATATACACAGAGGTTCAATGGTTCTATCAGAGAACAGCAGGCATACCCATGAATCAATGTTTTATTTTCCAGAGGGGTGCTTCAACACATGATCTAGTTATTGATAAACTACTGGAAACAATATTCAAATAGTTCACTTCAAAATATTACCACTGGGCACCATTAGAAAACAGTGGGATTTCTAAAGCTCTTATTTTGAAAAAAAATGCCAATGGGATATGTCTATATGCCTAAATTATGGTAGTAAGCCACATATAACATTTATCTTAAAAACCAGTTGGTTTGGGGAGTCACACACACAGCTGTATGTAGATGTAACTCAGAATGGCCTTCACAGGAAAAAGGAAAAAGTGCAGCTGAGGCACTCTATGAGCGAGTTCATTCTTAACTGCTCTGTGGACTCACATCTGTGAATTAACCCTTAGCTAATCTATGTACTGGGAGAGTGCAAAAAATAATCTGGTAGTACTCCTCAATCTGATTCCCCCCATTTTATATACCCCAATACAGCAATTACTAACTACATTCAGAACTGTTGAAAAAATAAACTACTCAATGTATCACTTTCCTTTTCAAACAAATTTTTTTAGGCTGAGCCATTTTTTGGGCTGAGTCATTCCTTGAGGTCTGCTAAAAAATGGCTCAGCCTAAAAAAACTGTTTGAAAAGGAGAGTGATACATTGAGTAGTTTATTTTTAGATATATATTTTAATATTTTTATATATAGAATACACACATTTGTACCACCTGCAAGGTTTGCATGGAAAATATGTATCATACCTGTAACTTGAGTTGGTGCAATTACTTGACTAGCACTTGAAGTGGAGACATCTGGGCCAACTTCAACAGGCACAGGAGGAGATGTTTTCTCCACTACTACTGTGTGAAAGAAAATGGAAAACTATTTATGTAGGAAGAAGATATTTTAAAAATGCATGCATAGCTTACTGAACTAATTATTACAGGAAAACTGTTGTAAAGGCCACTCCACATGTTATGTTTCTATCCGATACATGCTGTAGATCCCATCACACACATTCTAAAATGGTAATATTGGAGCACCGATACATGTTCATTTCATTACCCCTGGCCACATTTTCCCATGTACCCAAATTTGATATGTGTTTACAAAAAGATAGAAAACTACAACAGAAAACATATGTAATTGCCAGAAGTATAATATCTGAAGTGATTCTAAGGCAATCTGTTCTAATTCTGAACATTCCTTAATGTTCTCTTTGTCACTTGGGTGCACATGAAACAAATCTTGAACAGTGCAAAACAAATTAAACAGGTATCACTGCCTAAGCATCAATGTAAGATATTTTAAATGTACAAAGATTTGCTATCATATTAGAATAACTCCACCTTGCTTCCACTCACATGCTTGAATGAGGTTCCACCACCTCTGAAAAGATGAATACCTGCCATGAGGACCTTTAAGTCATTCACTATTTCAGTTTAATTTAGTTCCTTCTAATTTCTGACGCACCCTGCTCCTGCACATAAAATCTGTGGACACAATCGACCAGGCACAGCTGCTGCACAACCTCCATTGTGTTTGGTAGACTCATCAGCAAATGTTGATGTATTGTGATCTAATCATAATCCAGAGCTTCACAGGGCTCTGTGGGCCATATTGCATGAACACTGGAGCTGCCACCTCAAAGTATATAACATTTCCTGCTCTTCTTTCCACACCCTTGGGTAATATAAATGAGGGGGGAAAATAAAATGCTTACTAAATACACATACCGACTATCTGCTGCTTAGGAAGTTTCCAACAATAACCTGGAAAGAATCATCAGAATGTGCAAAGTATGGAAGGATAATTACGAGATTTTACTGCTGTATATACATCCTGCTGAACATTCCTATGGTTTGACTTGATACAAATGATGATATGCAAGAACCAGGGTAGTAGTGCAATACTTATTTTGTACAGTAAGTAATGTTGCAAAAGTATACTGTTGATTTCGAAACTACTAGTTGTGGTCTAAGCAGGTAATTTTTGGCTGAATTGTTTTCACTTCTATTAGAAAGAAAACAGTTTTGCAGACACTTTTCTTCTTATTTCTGGTGTGGAAACATATTATCAACAAGCACAGTTAAATGTGTACCTATAACCAGGACAAGGAAAACAACATGACAGGGATGGCACATTCTTCTTTCCCATATTTGAAAGTGGATATTCCCCCTCCCTTTCCCAGTGAAATAGCTCTGTTAGTTTTATGGGGCCAGAGGTTGGGAGTTTGATCCCCCTCTGAGACAGGCCAGTCTGGTGTAGCCTTCAGCAAGCACAGTCCCAGGGCCTCCCCAGAAGAAGAGAACAGCAAGCCACTCCTGAGTACCATGTATCTAGGAAACCCTGGAAAAGGCTGCCATAAGTCAAAATTGACTTAATGGCAGGTTGTGGTTGTTGCTTTTATTATTCCCCAATTAATATTAATTGTTTAAAAATAGAGTAACAGACTCTTACAGATGTTTGAAAACAAGACGCAATGGAAGACAATACAGCGACTGAAACTGTATATTTTTGTATTCTAGTCCCTCAGTCCCCCAGTCAGCATGAAAGATTTTAGAAGCTGCAATCCCCAAAGAAGCAATGTTCCGAAGCTCTGATCACAACACACACACACACACACAAACAGAGAGGAAGCTGCAATCCCCAAAGAAGCAATGTTTCGAAGCCCTGACCACAACACACACACACAAACAGAGAGACAGAGGAGAAAAGTAATAAGTGCACCTAACCATACCAGCAGCACAACAAAACTAGGTTTGATTGTTTACTGATTTATTTCAAATAAATACTTAGATAATGTATTTTCGCCTTTCTGTGGATGACATTCCAGATATGGGGGGGGGGCATTACTAAAATACTTTTTCATCAGTTGTAGCCTCCTTAATACTAGAAGATGAGAAAACCTGAAAAAGAATTTCCAAGGGTGAGCTCAATTGCACCAAGAAGTACCTGTATGAAAGCTACCCATATTCTCAGGCAGAATGAGACATCAATTAAAATGCACACCCAGTGGAATCCAAGTTAAGATGAACACAGGTGACTTAGGAAATAATTCATGGTGGGCGTGTTCACTAAGCCTGTAGCCTTTCAACTATGTGCCTTATTTTGGTTTAATTATAGGAGTAGGGGATCTGCACTAAGAATGTAGTTTTACCTCTCTTAATGCCAGTTCTATTAGAATGAAAATCTCATCCACACGGGCAGGATTAGGGGCATCAGAAAATAAAGATTCCATTGATATCAATGGGAATTTTTATCCAGAATGTTTAGTCACAGCTGACGGGTGTCATTATTTTTGTTCTTATTGTGCTGAGAAGGGAACTGCTAAGCACCCTCTGTTTGCAGGCTATAAACCATGTACGGGCCTACTCTCACGGCATCTATAATTCAATGCTCCTCACAACAGATTGTGACCTATACTTTGGGCCCAAGAGCTCCTTAAGATTGTTTTGCAAGTTAGGCCAAAGGAGGCCACAAATTGCCAAGCACTGAGTGAGACTCCACAGACACCACAGTATTTCCACAGAAATACTATCGCTTTGCTAGAGTAGGCACAAAGTATGCTGAAAGATACACATTGCCGGAAGATACCTGCTTTTGGTAGATTTAATCTGAACTTTCTGTTAGTTGTCTCTAATGATCTTCCTAAATCCTTAATGCTCCATACCCCAAATAAACTAAGAAGCTAAACAAATTATACTCAGAGGGACTGCCTGCCTGTGAGCAAGTCTGTTAACCATTTTAGTTTACACAGGCTACCTAGAATCCAACAGGAGTACCAGTTGTTCCAAATAGTGTAGTCCTGGAACGAGCTGGAATTGTTACCATGTATACACTACTGAAACAATGACGTCTTATGTTGGCTTGGGCACATCGTGACAATGGCTTATGATTGGATTCCAAGAGATCCCCTGTATGGAGAATTAGTGCAGGGAAATCACCCCAGAGGGAGACCACAGCTGCGATCCAAGGACATCTGCAAGCGGGATCTGAAGGCCTTAGGAATGGACCTCAATAGATGGGAAACCTTAACATCTGAGCGTTCAGCCTGGAGGCAGGTGGTGCATCATGGCCTCTCCCAATTTGAAAAGATACTTGTTCAGCAGGCCGACGCCAAGAGGCAGTCCCAAAACCAGCAAAATCAGGGAGCTAGACAGGGGACAGATTGTATTTGTCTCCAGTGTGGAAAGGATTGTCTCTCTCGAAATGGCCTTCTCAGCCACACTAGACACTGTTCCAAGACCTCTATTGAGAGTGTGTTACCATAGTCTCTTGAGACTGAAGGATGCCTGCTACAGTTGTATCATTTGGAAACACAGCAAGAGCAATAAAAAATTCCAGAATGAGCCATTTTACTGAAATTCCTCTTGGATGCACAGCTTAACATAGTGAGGAGGTTTCATTTTCTCAGGGAAGTTGAGATGCATATTGTTAGAAGGCTAGATTCCATTATGAGTCCACAGTTCTAGCACAATCATCTGACACAGACTGGTCACATCAGCAGAAGAGAACTGATAGCTGCAAAAATGATGAAGGCAGCAAAATTCTTTAGGGACAATTACTGAACATCAGCAGCAGTGGAAGTTGGCTCTGATGGAGGATCTTTCACAGACAAGAAACAACAGAGCTCTAATAATGAGGCAAGATGTACCACAAGCAGCTAGGGGCTATAATACAAAGTCTGACTGAACAACATTATATAGGAAAGCCTATAAAATCACAGTCATTCAAGTCTGTACTCCAGTTACATATGCTGCAGAGGAAGAAACAGAAGCTTCTATTAAAATGTACAGGAGGAAAATGATCACACACCAAAGAGGATATGCTGATACACAGATTACTGGAGATTAAAATCAGGAAGCAAAATAGAACTGAACATTGTCAGTAATTCTGTCAAGGAATCAGAAATAAAACAGGAGAGCAAAGAATTTTGTGAAGGCAACAATCTGTTTATAGCAGATATATGCTTCAGGCAATCAAACAGATGGATGTAAATATGGAGGTCACCAGGTGACCAATGCAAAATTCAAATACTGTACACCACATAATCAGAAGCAGGAGAAGCAGTATTCTCTCTGCAAAACCAAGTCCAGGAGTAGACTGTGGTACTGACCACAGACTATTAATATAAAAAATTAGAGTACTGCTGAAAAAGAAGATTAAAAGAGTCATAGTGACAAAATATAATTTAAATACAGTGGTACCTCAACTTACGAACGTCCCTACTTACGAACATTTCGACTTACAAACAGCTCCGGTCGCAACTTTTTGCTTCGACTTGCGAACAGAGCTTCCACTTACGAACAGAAACAGGCAGAGAAAAAAGGCAGGCAATTCAACTTTCTAACTGTAGGTGGTGCCTACAGTTATAGGGTGTGTTGCAGTTGGAAGCTTTGGAGTGAGCCTATGTGTGTGTCTGCAGGGAGGTAAGCTGTTGTTTTCTCCTTTAAAAAACTGTTCTGAGTGGGTTTTGGTGGCTCTGCTTCGGAGTGTGTGTGTGTGTGTGTGTGTGTCTGCAGGGAGGGTTTGTTTCTGTGCTCTGCTTTGGAGCGAGTGTGTGTGTGTGTCTGTATTTTGTGGAGGTTTTTTCCCCCCTTCTTCTTAGCAATGGAGGTGGTTCTATTGTCTGTTTTTTGAGTTTTTTTTCTTAAAGCCTCAGCAATGGAGCACCTTCCAACTTGGCTTGCTGTGCTCTTTTAAAATTTTTGGTTATTTTTTTCCTCTGGGCAGCAGAGGGCAGAGTGAGGGAAGCTCCGGAGGAGCAGGAGGCGGGCGGGCAGGCAGGCAGGCAGGCGAGCGCTTCCTGGCCAGGTCTCTGGCCCCGACCCCGTATACTTCAGCCAGCCTTTCAGGCTCCCTTTCTCTGCTGGGTTTTTTGTTTTGTTTTGTTTTTTGCAGCCCCAGCACATTTCTATGGGGCTTGCAGTGTTTTTATTTTTCATTTTTGGGGTATTTTTTTCTTCGGCTGGAATGGATTAATCATTTTCAATGCATTCCTATGGGAAATGGTGCTTTAACTTACAAATGTTTCAAGTTACGGACACTGTTCCAATACGGATTAACTTCGTAAGTCGAGGTACCACTGTACTATCACCATCATATTTCAAGGTCAATTTGAGTTTCATCATTTCTCCTATCCATGTGTTCAAATGATGGACATGAGGAGAAACAGATCATCCTTCCTATGTCATGTCCCAAAACATTCCTAAACAGAGATAAGGGAGGAGTCATTTTTGTCCACCAAAGAGTGTTAGTTAATTGGTCAAGAAGAGGAATGGAGGCATGCAAGCTACCCGGCATGTTATTCATCTCAGGTGATCGATCATACATCAGTTTGGATATGGAATTCCTAACAACTCCAGCAGTGCAGACCAGACCTCTGCTCTGTGCAGATGTTGATTAGGTTAAGTGTTCAGTGCTATAATAACTTCTTGTATTATTTTCACATCATGAATTACAAAGGTTATTTGGTAGTGCATTTTGTGATGTTTATTCTGGGTACCAAAACTTACGGTTCTGTTAGTAGATGACTGATAAAACTCTTAAAATTATTAAAGGCAAATGAGAAGCAAAAGTAAAGGTTGATAAAAATATGGTCAGAATCTTAAATGTAACTTTCAGCAACACAAGGACAAAGAGTGTCTTCACAATAATCAGTGAAAAGAAACAGAACAGAAAAGGAGAGGGAGAAACAGATCTTTTGCACTGAATTGAAAAATCAGAGGGAAATTTAAAATAAGATTAGAGCAGTTGCCAAAGCAAAAGGGGAATATATTATCTGATCAAGAAAAAGATTAAAAAAAGAGAAAATATTAAAGAATATTAAAAATATACTAAAGAATAATACAGAACAGTGGCAAAAATGACAAATCCTTTTGAAGAAGAAGGAAGTTGACAGTTGACAGATTTAAAACATGGTGTTGGTGGAGAGCTTTACAGACACTATGGCCTGCCAGAAAGACAAATATATAGGTTTTAGATTAAATTAAATCTGAAATGAATGACAATATCTAAATAAAGGCTATTATACTTTGGGCACATCATGAAAAGTCTCATGGAAAAACCAATAATGCCAGAAAAAGTAGAAGATAGTAAGAAAAGAGAAGGACTAAACATGAAGTGGAGCCAATAAAGGAAGACACAGCCTTTAGACTGTAAGACCTAAATAAGGCTGTTAATGGCAGGACCTTCTGGAGGTCACTAATTCATAGAGTTTAATAACAAATAAAACCTAAGTCCCCCAACTATGCAAACAGAAGGAGTTGTTAAATAAAACCTTGATCAAGGAGATCTGAAGGGTCTGACATTCTGGGCAAGTCCCATGGTTGTCATTCTGGATGAGCCAGCTACAGCCACATGTTAGAGAAAGCTCTACCAAATGAAAGAATAGGCTTCAGATTAGGTGGGGGAAGCAGTAGGACAGTACGTACAACATACCTAATCTGTCCACATTGGCCAATACCGAGCACAAGTACTCAGAACTGGGGCTCTGTGAAACAGGGAAGTGAGACAGAATCACAACTGAATACAGAGTAAAATAAAACAAAACTAATCCTTCAGGTTATTGAGCTTGTGTTGGTGTTGTGCCAAGCAGCTAACAGCAGAATTCATAGACTAATTTTGTTGCAAGGGGCCTAAGGCCATCGAGTCCAGCCCCATGCTCAATGCAGGAATCCAAGTCAAAGCAGATCTGCCAGGTGGTTGTCTAAGTTTCACTTGAATAGCTCCAATGTTGGAGCACTCACCACCTCTTGAAGTAATTGGTTCCACTGTCCTACTGCTTTAAGAGTTAGGAAGTTTTTTTCTGATATTCAATAGGAATTTGGCTTCCTGTAACTGACCTCACTGTTGTGTGTCCTGCACTCTGGGATGATCAAGAATTGATACTGACCCTCCTCTGTATGCCAGCCTTTCAAGTATTTGAAAAGTGTTATTATATCTCTCCTCCTAAACATACCCAGTTCTTTTAGTCTTTTCTCATAGGACTTGGTTTTCAGCCCCCTGATCACCCTTAATGCCTTCCTCTAAACTTGTTCCAATTTGTCAGCAGCCTTCTTGAAGTGCCTTGTTTAGAACTGGATACAGGACTCTAGATGAGTCCTAAGCAGTGGAGAACAGGGGGGAACTACTACCTCGTGGGATTTGGAAAAAATATTTCTGTCAATGCGTCCTAAAATAGCATTTGTCTTTTTTACATCCACATTGCATTATTGGCTCATATTCAGCTTTTGATCTACAATTCCAAGACCTTTCTCGTTTGTAGTATTACTGAGTCAAGTATCCCCCATCTTGTAACTGTGCATTTGGATTTCCCCCCTAGTTGTAGAACTTTGGGACGTGGTGGCGCTGTGGGCTAAACCGCAGAAGCCTGTGCTGCAGGGTCAGAAGACCAAGCAGTCGTAAGATCAAATCCATTGCTTGTCCCAGCTCCCGCCATCCTAGCGGTTCGAAAGCATGCAAATGCAAGTAGATAAATAGGGACCACCTCGATGGGAAGGTAACGGCGTTCCGTGTCTAAGTCACACTGGCCATGTGACCACGGAAGATTGTCTTCGGACAAAAACACTGGCTCAATGGCTTGGAAATGGGGATGAGCACCACCCCCTAGAGTCGAACATGACTGGACAAAAATTGTCAAGGGGAACCTTTACCTTTACCTTTTGTAGAACTTTGCATTTATTCCTGTTAAATTTCATTCTATTGTTTTCAGCCTAGTGATCAAAGCCCATCAAGATATTTTTGAATTTTGATCCTGTGTTCCAAAGTATTAGCTATTCCATTTAGTTTTGTGTCATCTGCAAGTATTCCCTGCACTTCTTCATCCAAGTCAATTATAAAAATGTTGAAGAGTACTGGGGCTAGGACTCAGCCTTGAGGTACCCCCAATTGTTACCTTCTCCTAGTTTGAGAAGGATTGATTAGCACTCACTGAGTATGATTCTGTTACCAACTGTGTCCATCTGACAGTCAATTCCGCCCACACCTAGTTAGCTTCCTAATCAGAAAATCATGTGGCGTTTTGTTAAAGTCAGGGTATATTATATTTACAGCACTCCCACCATCTACCAGGGAGGTTACCCAATCAAAAAAAATGAGATAAGATTAGTCTGGCAGGATTTATTCTTGACAAATCCATGTTGGCTTTAAGTTATCACTACATTGTTTTCAAGGTGCTTGCAGAGTGACTGCTTTATAATCTGCTCCAGAATCCTGGCATTGAGGTCAGGCTGATTAATCTGTAGTTCCCTGTTTCTTCCTTTTTGCTCTTTTTTCAAGATAGTGGCAATGTTAGTTCTTCTCTAGAGTTGGGCTCTTCATATTTATATCCCTGGGGATACAAATACAAATGTCAGCATGATAGGTGCCTTTCCCCCCAGACCAGCCAGTCCACTCACTGGTTGCTGCATGGCAAATCCAGCTGTCATCTGTGTCATCATGCTCATTATGGAAGTAGCCTGGCTGGTGCTTCCCCATCTCCTCGCGCAGCTGACCACTTCCACAAGGAGGCAAGATGAAGAGTCTCCTCACTCAGCTGTTGAGCAGTCAGCTGTGCAGGGAGAAGGGGAAGTGCCAGCTGTGCTGCTTCTACAATTGGTGAGACAATGCAGATGATGGCCATGCGCACCATGTGGCGATCACCGAGTGGACTGGCTGGGTGTGGGGGGGAGAGGATGGATCTCCATGGCATCTGTGGTGCCAATATTAATATTCATATCACCACAAATACAAATATGAATAGTCCAAATCTACTCTCCTCTAATCATCCAACACTTCCACTATACTCCATGATTTCAAGAAAATAATAAACAGTGGTGCTACAAACTCTTCAATATCCTTGGATGCAGTTAATCCGGCCCTGGGGATATGAATTCAAAGTAGGAACATACTCCTTGGCTATCTGTTTATCAATCTCAAACTGCAATCATATCCCATCTCTCTTTATTTCATATTTGCCTGGAGGAACATAGACTGTCTCTTGGGAGATTACTAAGCTGAAGTAGGAATTGAGCACGCCTGCTTTTTCTTTGTCATTGGTTATCATTTTCCTATCCCCATTGAGTAGGTGAGCCATTATTTCTTTTCTCTCAACTCTTTCTATGCTTGCCTGCACACAAGCTGTCAGAACACTTTTCTGCAGTCATAGATGGATGCCTTATTATGAGCTGACCTGACATGAAATGACAGTATTCTTAGACTTAAAGGTAAACTAGCAAGCCAACTCTCATTGCATCTGGAAGAACGACTGGAAAGGGGAAGGTCAACATTAACTTACCTATCTCTAGATAGTTGATTGCTTTCTGTACTGCCCATAATTATGGTGGTACGACTGCAGAACAGTGTCTGCATTAATACTATAAATGGCTAACAAAGCACTGTTATCTTTTATCATATTTTGCAAAACACATTCACTCTGACTTCATAGCTAGCCAATAAGGGTTCAGTAAGCTAATCAAATAGGTCAGGAAAAGAGGCAAAATTTGCAATCCGTTTTAACAGCTAACCATGCTCAAGTACACATCGAAGACTACAGCACAGTTAAAATTGACTGGCAAAGGAGAAGGAAATTATGAGGCAAGAAACAAAGTAAACACGAGGCTCTAAGCTCCTGGCACATTTCTTTGTTTTACATTGCATTGAACCTTACTGATAATACCAAGGAGTCTTGAAGAAGCTGTTCCATTTTATTGGATTACGCTCTTTTAAAATTCAGATCTTCAAATTAAAGACAAAAATTCTAAAACTGACAGGAAATAACAAGGAATTATGCTATTCCTTGTTTGCATGGGTTCTCATCCACTAAAGGAGGAGTCAAAAAGAGCTACCTGGAAATTGTGGATGCAGGTTAATAGTTGAAATCCCAGGAGAAAGCTGAGGTTGACCAGGCTGTATTATAGTTTTTTCTCGATCATCAAGTGAAACTAATTCCTAAAAGAATGGTTAAAAATTAAATGGGTGATTATATGATTATATATGATATTAATGTACAATTAACTAACTCTGTGGGGAAGTAAGCTTATAAAAATTGTTTCACATACTATCAGCAAACATGAGGGAGTAAAAGTTTGGGTAATTTGGCAAAGTCTCTGTCATTTTTGCTCTTCTTCCATTCAGCGGCAGCCCATGTGAACAATGTATCCCACATCTATATACTTGGTAAATCTCTAAATATATTGTCACAAGCATGAAAGTTACGCACATGTACCTGAAGGCTTGTGTTTTAAAGACAACCTATCCTTGCACAGGCATTTCTGATTTACAGCACGCTTGGATACAGGAACCCCCTTACAAAGATGACCTTAGCACAGTCATACTAACATTAAACATATGCATCCACTGCACACACATATGTAATAAATATCTAGACACCACATACATATACATAGTGTTCCACATTGTTGGTGCAATAAAGATTAAAATTTGGTGCATTTAAGACTCATGACACTAAACAGGACTACACACCATACTGAATGTTCTCCGTTACTGGATTTACTGTGTGGATTAATTTGTATATCACAGAAGTGAGTACACCCCCTCACATTTCATAAATATTTTTGCATATATTTTAATGTGACAAAATTGAAGAAATGATACTTGGCTACAATGTAAAGCAGTGAGTATACAGCTTGTATAATGGTGTAAATGTCCTGTCCCCCCAAAATAACGCAACACACAGCCATTAATGTCTAAACCACTGGCACGAAAAGTGAGTACGCCCCTAAGTGACAATGTCCAAATTGGGCCAAAGTACACTATCTGTTTTCCCTCCCTGGTGTCATGAGACTTGTTAGTGCCACAAGTCTGAGGTGTGAAGGGAGAGCAGGTGTTATCACTCTCACTCTCTCACACTGGTCACTGGAAGTTCCACATGGCTCTTTTAAAATTCTATCTGAGGATCTGAAAAAATGAATTGCTGCTCTACATAAAGATGGTCTAGGCTGTAACAAGATTTCTAAAACCCTGAAATTGAGCTGTAGCACAGTGGCCAAGACCATACAGCAGTTTAACAGGACAGCATCCATTCAGAACAGGCCACACCATGGTCGACCAAAGAAGATGAGTGCCCGTGCTCAGCGTCATATCCAGAGGCTGGCTTTGTGAAACAGAGATATGAATGCTGCCAAGCAATGCTGCAGAGGTTGAAGGGATGGGGGATCAGCCTGTCAGTGTTCAGACCATACACCACACACTGCATCAAATTGGTCTCCGGTGCTCTCATCCCAGAAGGAAACCTCTTCTAAAGATGATGCACAAGAAAGTGCGCATATGGTTTCCTGCAGACAATGCAGACTAAGGACATGGATTTCTGGAACTATGTCCTTAAATTAGACCAAGATAAACTTATTTGGTTCTGATGGTGTCAAGCGTGTGTGGCAGCAACCAGGTGAGGAGTACAAAAACAAGTGTGTCGTGCCGACAGTCAAGCATGGTGGTGGCAGTGTCATGGTCTGGGGCTGAATGAGCACTGCCGGCACTGGGGAGCTACAGTTCATTGAGGGAACCATGAATGCCAACATGTACTGAATCAGAGCATGATCTCATCCCTTCGGAGACTGGGCCACAGGGCAGTATTCCAACATGATAACGACCTCACACACACCTCCAAAACAACCACTGCCTTGCTAAAGAAACTGAGGGTAAAGGTGATGGACTGGCCAAGCATGTCTCCAGACCTAAACCCTATTGAGCATCTGTGGGGCATGCTGAAACAGAAGGTGAAGGTGCGCAAGGTCTCTAACATCCACTAGCTCTGTGATGTCATCATGGAGGAGTGGAAGAGGACTCCAGTGGCAACCTGTGGAGCTCTGGTGAACTCTATGCTCAAGAGGGTTAAGGCAGTGCTGGAAAACAGTTGTCGCCACACAAAATATTGACACTTTGTGCCCAATTTGGACATTGTCACTTAAGGGTGTACCAACTTTGGTTGCCAGCTGTTTAGACATTAATGACTGTGTGTTGCATTATTCTGAGGGGACAGAACATTTACACTGTTATACAAGCTGTATACTCACTGCTTTACATTGTGTGGTCCACACAGTCAAAGGCAGTCACAGTCATATGAAAAGATATACTAAAATATTTATGAAATGTGAGGGGGTGTACTCACTTCTGTGATATACTGTTGCTACAGCTCATAACTCTGTGCAGAAATTAAATTTGTAATTATACACTGAGGGCAACCAATACATGGTACAGTATAGGAGTTATTTCTCATTCACAGGTGAACTTGGGAAAAGCTCACAGACAGTTCAATCCATATGAATAGAACAGTTTATGTGTTTGAGAACTGACATTGAAATTTCTTCTTGATTTTTCTCATGCTATAACGAGAAAGAAGTAGAGTCCAAGATCTAGTGATGGTGTGTATATGTGTACCAGAGTATGCACGGGAGGGTGGGTGGTAACTGCTTGGAACTTTCAGTCTCTCCAGGTGAGGAATAATCAGCACAGGTGAAAGAAAGTCAGTGGCAAAAAAGGAAACAGTGATGGCAGCATTGCACACGCATATATGTGCAGGGTGGACACTTGAGGTGTGTCTTACGCTTCTTTAGGATGATCTAAAAACTATGTTTTAATTAAAACACCACGATAAGGTAACTGTATAATGGTCATTCTCACAATTCACAGTGTGGTATGGAGCTATATACTATTTGTAGCTTTCTTCATGTGATATGTATAATTATAGCCCATAAATATCTGCCTTGCACAGCTAGGACCATACATTTTTCATATTCCAATTTTCATACATGGAGAGCTAATGCATATGGAACCATCAATCCCCTTTCAGACTGTTCCCCCACGCATGAAATCAGTATTAGAAGGGATGGAGCATTGCACAGGTGATAAAACCAGGGCTGTGAGGCACAAAGAACTCAAATTTGCCTGAGAATCAAATATTTTTCCCAAAACACTTGATTGATACCTGTCTCTAGTAACCTGGCCCGAAATGCCCCCCCGCAGCGTTTGCCCCAAAACACTTGATTGATCCGTGTCTCTAGTAACCTGGGTGAGGACCGGGTTTTCTTCCCTCTTGCCGATTTCCCACATTGGAACTTGTCCCCTGTCTACAGTACTTCCTTGAACCTGAATGATCAATCCACTTTAGGTTAAACATTATACAGTGGGGCCTCGCTTAACGAGTGCACCGTTTAACGACGAATCTGCATAGCGACGCGTTTTTTGCGATCGTTTTTACGATTGCATTACGATGTTTTCTATGGGCAAACATCGCATTGCGATGTTTGGGAAATAGCTGATCGGTGGTTCCAAAATGGCCGCAGGAAGAAGAAAATGGCCACCCGCAGCGTTTTCGCGCCCTGCCCTCGCTTACCGAGGCGGTGAAAATGGCGGCCATATGGGGAATCTTCGCTTAACGATGAGTTTATCCCCCATAGGGATGCATTAAATGGAGTTTAATGCTTTCCTATGGGGTTTTCAGTTCTGTTTAGCGATGTTTCCAGATAGCGACGTTTTTCCTGGAACAGATTAATGTCACTATGCCACTGTACATTACAGATATAATACATTATCTGTATCTGAAATCATAGTAGTGAACCAGACATGTGATTCTAACAAACCTTCAATTTTGCAAAGAAAGCCACTGTTTATCTCCCAATGACCAACTGCAATTATGCAGACTAAATTACAAACTATAAGCAGTGTGAAAAGCTACCTGGGACAACCAGTCGTCTTCCAGCTCTTAAGGAATTCCCTATTCAAACAATGTGCTGTTTCTACCACAGAGCTTAAACCTTACATAGTCTATCTCTAGTTTCAGGTTATTAGTGCGATGTTTTAAGTTAACACAATTTTGGGCTTTTAAGGATATGATGAAGGGAAAGTATTACGAACTGGTTATCATATAAAAATATATGCAACAGTTTTACTGTATGATAATTTTTTACACTGTATCTATGCCATGATATTATTATAGGGTTGGTTACGAAAGAAAATAAATCAATAAATTATGCTTAGTATTTACTAAAATATTGTTTCCTTTCCCATGCTACTGATCTTCCTTTCTTATAATCATACTGGACTACTTTTTTAATGATGTGGTTACA